GGATAAATATTGATGAACACATGACCAGTGCCCTTCATTAATTGAAATTCCAAGGTCTGTGTATGAAACCTGGCCTTGATCTTGACTTGCATACGGTGGGTCTATAAAGTCTGTTTGGCGTTTAATGATTGGCTTTGTTGGGCCCCAGGTGCCTCTCAGGTAATTACTTCCATCTTCATCAGCATTTTGCTCTGTGCTTCTTGGAAGAGTCATTCATACTTCAGTATGCTCCTTTTCATCAGGGGCTCTGCTGCCATTTGGCCAGGCGAATCAGCGGCTGGTATTGTTTGCATTGTGCTTAGAAACAATGGCACAATCGTTTGCCACCTCAGTCTTCCTTTGTCATCGTTCTTTCTTAATCGTTGATGAATTACATCAGTGAAGTGTGACACCGGTTAAGTGGTTCATGGGTGAAATGGGACCTTCATTGCTGGTGGTGGCTTGGATGTCCACATGATGCTCATTACAGGGTAAACGTGGAGAGTAATCTGTTAAAGATGTCTTCACTTTTTCTCTCTTTCCTTGGCTGGGAATGAGTTCCTGCCCATCCTAGGGCCCAAACCTCAGAGAGATGTGAAGCTGAAGGAGGTAGCGCGAGCCAAGCATGCTGCTGCTGCCTGTGAGACGTGGCTGTTTTCCACAGTCTTCTCCTTTTTCTTTTTTTTTTCTTGCCTGTCTCACCCCCCCACCCCCCATTGTGGCTCTTTTTGGAAATGAATGGAAAGGCAGACTTTATCCCCCTCCTCGCGTTTTCTCTTTCGTGCTCTCTATTCTTTCTTTCTCATTTACGAGGTAACTACAACAAGCCTTCTCGAGGCTTATCCTTGGCCTGTCTCCAGGATGGTTGCTAAGTAAATCACTCTGTGGTAAGGAAGGAACGTTCAGAATTCAAGATGATCTGAAGTGTTCCGTGTCCCGCTTTGTTTTGACCCTTATCCGCATATCCTGGTGTATCCCTTCAGGTACTGAGAGTAAAAAGAAAGAATAATGGGTATTGTATAAAGGGAAATGTTGCACAGGATGCTGATTAAGATTCCCCCCCCCCCCAGGTGTATCTGTCAGCCATGTGTTTTTCTGCCCTATTACAAATCTAAATAGTCACAAGATATCCAATAATAAAAAAAAAAATCTCCCAACCTTGGAGGGAAAAGAAACAGATTCACAATGCAGGCCTGTACTGCATTTAACCTATTTTTTACTGCTCAATTGAGACTCTAATTATACCCCACAAAAAAATTAACGGTGAGGCTGATTCAGCTTCGTTCAAGCATAGCGTAATTATGCTGTTAAAATGAGCCTTAAATAGATGATTCAAGTTTTTGTCTTTGTTTAGCGCTTTATCTATCAGCTCGCTGTATTATGTTGTCTCCTGCTCCCAGAGTGTCATGTGTTCAGAAAACCCAGTTGTAGTTTAGCTGAATTTTTCTTTCTTCTTTCACCTCTCAGGTGGTCATGGCCCCTCACGAACCGTCCGTGGTCTTTGTGGACAACTACATCAAGCTCCTTGCTGACAGCAACCCTGAGACTTTCCAGAAGATACTAGATATGAAGGTGAGTCTGTTTTATTTGCTTAAGGGAAAACTTCCTCATATTTCATGAAATCTGACCACTAATAGAACAGGAGACCCACATAAAAACTGTAAAAAAAAGCTAAAAAAAACATTATGTATATTAGGCTTTTTGATTTAACATGTTAATTTAATTAATTGGTTATGGAAAAAATTGTTAAAATGATTAATGCATTTACCATAACCGCTCCGCCCCCGAGGTCATCTTAGATTTCCATGTTAAATCCAAAAAAAATTATTTCTAACGCTATTTTTTTTTTGTAATGTCTATTTGATGATTTTCTCATTTAACACAATAATGACTTTAAATGTTCCTTTGGGGGTAATTTCTGATGTAGTAAATTTCCAATTTGTGAGTGAATCAATCTATTAGTATTGAGTCAGATCTTTTAAAAGAATTAGTTCAACTGGTTCACAAACATCTCTAATTGATTCATTAGAGAATAAGTCAAATTGTAAAAAAAAAAATATATATATACAATCTATCCAGTAATCACAAATGATCGAAAAGATCTTTTTTAATTCATTGGAAAAGATCTTTGAAATTGACTGGTCTCTTTTACCCCTAAATCTATAGGGTCTGAAACGGAGTGAGCAGAGCACCATGCTGGAGCTTTTCAGACAGAGGTTGCCCACTCCGCCCTCAGGACCAGACGGTGGCCCATCATTGTCCTTCAGTGCCCCCACCCCTGAACAAGAATCTTCCCGTATCCGCAAACTGGAAAAGCTCATTAAAAAGAGAATTCAGTAAATTAGCAGGAACTTTATTCCCATCAATATACTAATGTGAGCGCTCTCTTTTGTGCATGGCCTGACAACATGTCTCCGCTCGAGTTATATCATGCTTAAAATGGGATGTAAATAGTACTGCTATGTCTTTTGTATGTATTTATGTTCGGTTACAGATCACTGTTTAACTTTGAGGCTTTCATGACTTGCATTACTATAAGCCTTATGATTCAAGTCTTTTCCTGAACCTCAACACATTACTGGCATGAATGAGTCATTTTCCCAACCCCTTTTTTTTTGGCTCCAATTTACAACACTAATACCCACAGTGTCATTTACTTTGCACATTTCTCTGAAATATGCTTGCACTTAAAGCAAACCAGAGGGCAGTGTGGCCCAGAAAAGAAACCTGCTGCTATTCTGGCACAAAGTCTTCTGCCCTGGGGTTTACAACATCAAAATGATTTAAAGCCAATGTTTTTATAATTGTCCCCTCACTATAAGAGTAAACGGCTGTGTGGAATATGGCTTTTGCTCTGGGTAAAGGAGCCTGTGGAGAAGAGGAGTGAGCTTTCGGGTCTCAGGTACTCCGCAACAGAGGAGCTTGGGATTTCCTGTCTCCTCTAAAATGACAAACCAGTTATTTTGGCTTTTAAAATAATTTCCCAGGTTGGGGTGAAAAGAAAGAAACACTCACATTGTAGATGTTTTTACCCTGCAGGAGCTGTAAGAAATAAATATTTACCACTTGTGTTTTCCCATGCTAGAGATATTTTCTCAGCGAACAATACCTGATGGGAGATTATTGGAATGCAGAAATTTGGATACAGTCTTCTACTTTACTTAATCTACTGGTCACTTTTGTAAAGATAGTATTTGTTTTTGTCCATTGTTTGACATAACTTATTTTATAGTCCTTTTAATAGATGATTATATGAGCTCCTGAATCGGGTTACTGTACTTTTCATCATCATTTCATCACACTCTCCTTCATAATTTTTTTTTTCTCTGCACATGGCTTTGTACTTGTTAAAAGACCTCAGCAGCAGTGTATATCAAAGCTAAAATGTGTGCAATGAATGTATGATTTATGTGTTGGATGGCCTATTGTGATGTGTGACTTTATTGCAATATTATTTGCAACTATTTCTGCTGTGATTTATACTGTCGATTGCTTCTAATGAAAACATTCCTGCCTTCTGTGAATATTACAACATCTTTTTAATGTCTACTGCAGATATGAATTCTTGTTAATAAAAATCTGTTGATTATTGGCTTTGACAAACTTGTTGTTTTTGTCATTTTATGTATGATGGATGAACAGATAGATAGATATAAGATGAATGGTTGGACAAATAGATGGATGAGCCAATAGTTGTCTGATATTTTTTGTATGATCAATGGATGGATGAACTGAAAGGTGTGTGTGTGTGTACAACATATATATATATACACATTACACACACACATACATACACACTCCTGGCCAAAAAAGAAAAAGTGTGCCAAGCCAGGCCAAAACATGAGCCTGATGATTTTTTTCTCAAGCCACCTCTTGGTTGTTTGCAATTTGGGCAGGAGCATTGTCTTGTTGAGAAATAACATCTAATCATTCATCTTTAGATAACTTAAGCAACCCTTTCTGCCATATTCTCCTGTACTCCAAGCCATTAAATGACTTTTCACAGTGAGGCAGCTCACCAACACCAGCAGCTAAAAAGGCTCCCCACACATTGACAGCTCTTCCTCCATGCTTCACTGTGGTAGAGAAGTATTTATTATAATATCTCTCATCAGATTTTTGAAGACACCGCTCTGGAGCATAACCACGCAACTGGTGTTTCATTGTGATTCATTACTCCACACACAACTTCCTATATTCTGCCAAAGATCTGTCTGTTTTTCACAGACAGCAATGGCTTTTTAAGTAGTGCATTTGCTTAAATGTAGCTAATTTCCTGACCAATCATTTGTGGTTAAGACAATTAAAAGCCTAGTGTTTAGCCATTTTGGGCTTGTCCCATTTTGTTTGTTTTTTTGCCCAGGAGTATATTGTATGCTAGAAAGACGGATGAACTGATAATTGTCTGTCATTTTACATGTGTGTGTGTGTGTGTGTGATAGATAGATAGATAGATAGATAGATAGATAGATAGATAGATAGATAGATAGATAGATAGATAGATAGATAGATAGATAGATAGATAGATAGATAGATGATGGATGGATGGATGGATGGATGGATGGATGGATGGATGGATGGATGGATGGATGGATGGATGGATGGACCGATAGACCGATAGATGGATAGATATAGACAGACAGACAGACAGACAGATAGATAGATAGATAGATAGATAGATAGATAGATAGATAGATAGATAGATAGATAGATAGATAGATAGATAGATAGATAGATAGATAGACCAATAGATGGATGGATAGATAGATAGACCGATAGATGGATAGATATAGACAGACAGACAGATAGACAGATAGATAGATAGATAGATAGATAGATAGATAGATAGATAGATAGATAGATAGATAGATAGATAGATAGATAGATAGATAGATAGATAGATAGACTTGTTAAGCTTGATGTGAAGTTGGCCTCTGTTAAAAGCAAGGGCCTCCTCCTGACTCTCTAATTGTCACTCCAATCATCAGTGGGAGGCAGTTTTGAAGGCGTCTCCTCTCTTGCAGGCGCTTGTAAAACAATGAACTTCTTTGAGTGTGGACAATTTTGAATGCAGGCAGGCTGACAAGCGGGTAAACTTGCGTTCCCTTCCCCGGCGATGACCCCCTGACTGAATGCGCTCAGGAGCGAAGTCAGGGAAGTTTCCATTTTGCTCTCAGTTTTTATAAACCCATTTAAACTTGGCGACAACAAACACATTTGCAGCTTCTTCAGATCTGCGTTTCAAAGTCTCGGAGGAAACGGGAGCAGTGAGCCAGAGCCACGAAACGGATTATCGACGATAGTCCACGGGACCACGGCATCGCACAGCTGGTTTACTTTATACGAACCGCTCGGATCTCTTTTAGACAGGGCTGCCCGCAAGATCAACAGAGAAAAACAATTTTGCACATAATTCGATTTAATTGCATTGTTAGCAGAGCTTGTGGAACCTGCCCGCAAGTGTTGAGCAACTTTAAAAAGCAATGGTGGGAAGACTGAACTTGCGGAATGTGTCTGACGACGATCCGCTGGATATGAATTTTAAAGCTGATCGGCCGCTGGACAGTCCTGACTCCGGTCTGCCTCCGAGTCCGAGTCCGAGCCCGAGCGTCTGGTTACTGCAGGGCACCGGGGCTGGAACCCCGATTACTGAAGACGAGAGCAGAGGGACAGCTGTGGTATGATTCCTTCATGCTAAGCCAAGACATTTAATAGTACAAAAAGTACTTCTAATGGTTAGGTTTTTATCTCAAATGTATATTTCAGCTTCTTTTCGATTAACAAACATGCTTTTTATGTGTGAGTGTGATTTATATAAAAATCTATATTTACTAAAGTTACTTATTAAATTAAATAGATTGTTAATTATTTATGTATGTACAGTAGCCTATGTATGCATATTTACCTGACCCAAAGTAATATAAAAAAAAAAAATTTGATTCTTTTTATACAGGTTCCTAATAATCGCCAATTGCATGCATTGTCCTACGGAGAAGGAATTGAACTTGATCCTCTGCCACTAAAAGAAATAAGGTGATGGTTTTTTCTTTTCTTTTCTTGTCTTTTTTTTTTTTTACTGTTACCCCATCGTATGATTTTGGGGATTTGGGCAAGTTTCTCTGGGCAGGTGCAATTCCTATAATGCAGTACTAACTTGTTACATGTGTTTTTACAGATACACATCGTCTGTGCGTTATGATTCAGATCGGCACTTCATCCAGGACGTGACCCTGCAGCCCAAGGGTTTGGGTCTGGAGATGTGCAGCCAGACAGTGTTGGCCCTGCCTCAGAGCACCTGGAGACATTACAAGACCCAGTTGGAGTTCCAGCCCCGTCAGCGTGTGCAGCGCTACCAGAGCACCACCATAGTGTACCCCAAACACACCCGGACCTTCTACACCACCCAGCTCAATTATGACGGGCACAAGTTGACCAAGCGCTTCTTCTCTGCTGTTGAGCTGCAGGCTTCTGATTGCAAGGCTGGTCTTTGAAAGACACACTGGCATATGTGCCTGACATTACGCCCATATGTACCAATTATAAACCACCGCCTGCATTCATAGAGTCCCAAGAGGGGGGAAAAAGGAAACTCTGACTGAAATTGTTGCCAGTTGGAAAGGGGTTCCCAAAACAGAAGTGCAGTTAGTGAGTTCAAGGCTGGAGGAGGGAAAGCAACTGTGTTGTTTAAGGTTTGGTTAGGTTTAACCGTTGTTTTTAAGGTTTGGTTAGAAGCAGCATATGAAGGTTTGGATTGTTTTCTCCATCAGTGTTTAGTGGTAGTGTACACCAATGAGTTTAATTGTATGTAGAAATGTGGTTGATTTATTTAATAGTGAGATTAAAGTTTAAGATCTTCTGATATTGGACCATCACTGGTTTGAAAGGTTAGATTTGATGTTCAACTAGGACACACATTTAGTTGACCATAGAGAAATATGGGATGTACTAGAGTGCAAACTGATTTTCCACACCATTAATTATGTATTAGAAAAACAAAATAGAGTATTTTAGGGTTGGGTTACAAAGTTAGAGCTGCCACACACCATATGGTTCACGTGATTCACATTTCACTGAGATCTAGATAAATGAATATATTAGGGCCTAAAAACAGAAAAAAAAACAGAAAAAAAACCAGGGTATTTTAGGGTGTCTTGCACAAGGGTTATATCTGAGCTGAAACATTAAATCCATCAGAAAATCAACTAACCTGCATATTTTTACTACTGTAGCCACACTTAAGTCGTTAACCATATTTTCTTTATGTAAAGGCTAGCTAACTTCCACAGCTCGGCTTGGTTTTAGTAAGTTGTTCTCTGTATTGTTACTCATGAAGGAAAAATTACAAGTGGGGTCACATTAGAAATGAGCTCAATCATGTTTGATACTGCAGACTGAGGTATATGAAGACTAGAGTTTGAAATAAATTATAATGTAAATAACAGCACTTAAAATGTTTTTATTCTCTATTTATTTCTTGTTTTAATTCCCTTTTATTCTGTGCACAGTCATTGATTGAGTGAGTGACACAAATGTGCTGGCTTTAAAATCTGTATTTGTGCTGTGTACAATTATTTTAATTCTTTTAACTCTGATTTTATTAATGTTTACGTTAAGATGGATATTAACTCCTAAAATGAAATAAATTCATTATTTAAAGTGACATGTTGGCTTTTATTGTAATGTAATGTAATGTGCATTTTCCTTAATGTTTCCATCATGCTAGAAAACAAGACCTACTTCAAATACAAAGTTAGTAGTGCAACTAGTGATCTTCTCATTTGTTGTACTCGAGAGCCCCCTAGAGGTGAAAGTAAGTATTAGAGGTCAGATGTTAAAGGGATAGTTACCCCAAAAATGGAAATTTTGTTATTACTTGCTCACCCTCAAATTGACAGTTGACGGCACCCATTGACTTCTATAGTAGGAAAAAAAATAGGAAGGCAATAGCTGGGTCCGAAATCGCATACTTCCCTACTATATAGACTAAAAACAGTATGTGACAAAAGCCATATCATCACAGATAAAATAGTAGGCAAAAAAGTACCTGGATGACCTACTACTACCAGCGATATATGGTGTGCATATGATACTATATAGAACATACTTTTTTAGCAGCCCTGAAGCAATTACTCAAATTCAAATAGGCCTACCTACTCAAGAGAGCTATCATGCGATTTCGTACGCAGCCTTTGGGTGCCGTCAACTGTGGTTGCCAACACTTTTCAAAATATCTTCTTTTGTGGTCAAGATAAGAAAGAAACTCGTACAAGTTTAGAACAACTTGAGGGTGAGTAAATGATGACAAAATATTCATTTTTTTGGGGTGAACTATCACTTTAAAAGCATTTTACTCCAAAATAATATGAATGCAGCTATTTTAAAATAGGATTATGTATAAATCATGCATTTATTTTTGATGTTTAAATACAAGAACTACAATACTTTACTGGCTGTCAATGCAGGGCAAGCTCTAGGCTAAATGTCCTTGAGTCCAAATAGCGCTTCCTTCTGTTGGCTTTATAAATCTCAATCCTCTCTTCCTCCTCCACAGGGTCGGCCAGCTCTCCCACCCATCTCAGACTCTCCTGGGACTGGCTCATGGATGTCTTTTTAGGTTGGTTGGGCCTGGCTGTGGATACCATTGCATTTTTGTGTCGTCGACTCCCTTTTTTGGCCTTTTTTCTGGTCTTCTGTGAGCATGTATGATCTCCAGGACTGTTCTTCAGCTTTCTCATGGTCTCAGGTGTTGTTTTAGACTTTTGGCTCTGGTCCATAGGTGATTCATCTAGTGTTGTTTTCCATTGAAGAGTTAATCCTCTTGTGATAACTGTAAAGGTAACAATGTCCTGTTTTATTTCAGAATAATTCATATTTTATTATAGTTTTTAACTCTTATGAGACCTGTGATTTAGATCATTATGTTAAAATTAGTGTAAAACTAGTGGCTATACACCGTCTTTCCTACCCACCTGTGTAGAATGCGAATTAGATGTTCTGACCTGACATGTAATTATCCAGTTATGTTTCTTGATAAATTGTTTTCTTTATAACTTTGGTCGTATAGTTGGAGTGTCAGTTTGCCTTTTTTTTGTTTTTATTCAAAGAGTGTGAAGTGGGAACGAACAACAACTGACTACGGGTCGTCAAAAACGCCATTCCCTTCTGTGGCTCACTGTTTACGCTAAACGATTCTTCTTGGCAACCATCCAGTATTTCAAACACATATGATTTAATAATGGTTTATTTTTCATTTTGTATGTTCAAATGTGTAATTTTTAAATATCGTGATGTCACAGAATTCGTAGGAACTGTTCTTCTTTGCTTACACTAAAAAGACTCAAAAAGTAAAACGTCTGTTTTTATTAGAAGAAGCATTTGGCACTGGTATCCAATCGGATACGTTTCTAGCGAAACGTAAAGAAATGGGTGGGGCTACACAGAGCAGTAGCCAATCGAATACATTATTTGTTGATGTTGAGGGGGCGGGATGTTAACTTGGGATACTTCCTACTAGTAACGTTGTGTCGTATGCAACTAACCCTAACAATATAATGTAAAACATCTTTAACAATTATAAGAACTAATGGCGTGTTTATTTTATAGCTGTTCCTGCAATATCGGTGTAAAGATGTCTCGATTAGAAGAATGAGCTGAGAGTTACTTTATTTTCGTTTTTAGATGGATGCTTCTGGATCACAACAACTGCTCGATGACTGGGATGACATTAGCGACTCAGAATTTCTCAACATCCCTTGCGAGCAACAAAGCATCGGTCAAATATTGTGTAATTTTCCTTGTCTATTGGGAGCCCAAAAAATTTTGTAATTTGGATCATTTGTTGCGATTGTTATGTGTTTTTTTTCTTTCTGTTCATTTGTTTGTATAATATCTGTGTTTCTTTCCACTGAAAGAAAAATGAGATACAACTATGTTGTTGTTAGGTTTTATACACGTAAACAGTATTTTCTCTCTCTGTCTTTTTAGATCCCCATCGTCCTCTCAGTAGAGAAACTGATTGTGAACACTCAGTGGACTTTAACAGCCCCATGGTGCCCACTTCATCCGTGTACAAGTAAGTCTTTTGTGTGATGCTTAGAGAATTGTTTTTTCTAGATATTGTGTGCCAACATGCAACCCACGTCATTCTGCAACATGTTGTTTCTTTGCTGTTGTCACATAATAACATAATGCTCTTCTACTTTTCAGCCATAACAAAGAGACTTTGGGGCAAGAAGCAGTAAAAACTGATGATGCAAGGGGTTTAAAGAGAAAGAGCCTCCATGAAAACAGCCTCAGCCCAATGCAACGCTTCCTCAAGCGGCATCTGAGTGTGACTCTCCTGTGTGACCAGTCTTGGTGTGAGATGAAGACTGTCTACAGTCTTTTGAAGCCACATCTCAAAAGAAAAGACCTGCAACGGACTGAGGTGCAAATCGGAGCAGAAATACATTTATCAAGAGGTGATGTAATAAACTGCATTGGCTTTCAATACTTTGTGTATAGTGCAACATAATTTATCATGCATATTCAGTAATGCCATCCATGCCTTTCATCTCCAGAATTGGAGATACAGAACGTTGTCCCTATAGATATCCAGACTAGAGAGGATGCAGAAGCCATCAAACTTCTCAACATGTTACACATGATTTCACGGTTAGAAGCAGGTGTGTTGACAGTGTAGAAATAATTGTAGGTATTGTTTTGGTACTTGGATGAAGTATAAACATTTAATTCTCAAACATCTTATTTCAGGGGAGCGTGTGCGAGAGTTCCCTGTGTTTGGTGTGCAGGAAGGTGTTTTTTTCATGGGGGTCATTGATGAACTGATGTATAACCAGAAGGGGGAGCTAGTCCTAAATGAGCTTAAGACACGCAAACACAACTCCATGCCTAGTTCTGCACAAGATAAAGTTAACTGCTTACAGGTGAGTTGGAGTTATTTATTACAGGTCATTATGATGCAGCGGTTAATGATGGCACTGTGCTTTTGTGCACAGCTGCCTTGTTTTCCCTGGACTTCATTGTGTTTCCACTACCACATACATGTGGCCATATAGTGAGGGTCAATGATGTGACACTTATTTGTGACATCTATTAATTTATTTACAAAAAAAACCCCAACATTACAATGACCTGAATACAAATTGGTCTATTTTCTATAAAGAGCATGTTTTTTGTTGTTGTTGAAAATTATAAAGTAAAAAATGTCCTAATAGAATAAATTCCTCATGAAAGAATGAAATTCTAGAGATTAAATATTAAGTAGCTTGGTGTAATCGTTTATTATTATTTCTTTGACTAGCAGAAAAAAATCGGTTTCATTGTAGTATTATGAATTTATATATACAATTATAGTATTTCTTAATATTTTAGCTTTTATTTTTTATATTGTTAGTCCCTCATTTATTTTCTGTTTTAAGTTCAATTCATTTGGTTATGCTTTTTTAAAAGTATTTCTATCAACTGTAATTAATTTTTATTTCAGTTTTAGTATGTAATTTTAGTACTTTAGCTTAAATGTATTTATTTCAGTTTCTAATTTTCTACATTTCTTATTTTCATGTTATACTTTTTCACATTTTATTTGATTTAATTTCAGCCTAATTTCAATTACCAAAAATTATTTTTAATAGTTTCAGTTTTATTTTCAGTTTACAACACTGATAATGTATCTTTTAACAAAACCGTTACAAATATTTGAACAAATTATGTCTGCTAAATAAAAGTCATGTGGTCTTGACTCCCCAAAACTGAATTCATAATTGATGATATTTATATACTTATTTTTTACCATGAAAAATACATCAAAAATTTTTCTCAAAATCATATGAAACCAACATGAATACAAAAAGCGCATTTCTAAGAACTCGGCACAGATTTTTCTTCCCTTTTCCTTTTCTTTATTATGCACACTCTAATCGACCATTATATATTGGATTATATATAGATTGGTTCTTTGCATCTGTTTTTTAAACTGTCCATCTGTTATTTAGGTGGGCCTGTATAAATTGCTATTTGATGGACTGGTGAGAGGGGAAGTGAAGAAAGACCATATATTAAATCACCTTAAACTGCGTTCAACTCAAGTGCTTGGAGCGGGAGTCCAGGCCCATGCTAAAAGCATTGGGGTTCAGGTGACCACCTTTGAGGAACTGGTTGATGCCCTACTAATAACTGTGTCATGTTCTGATCTTCCATGCATTGACCTGCTTCAGCTTGAATACTATCACCAAGGCTCTAGTGGACCCATTGGGACCAGAGTCGCTCCTTTCAATGAAGCCCAACTACGGGCAGAGCTTCAGGGTTATCTGGCCTACTGGACAGGCCAGAGGGAACCCAAAGGGGTGGACATAGAGGAGGCCTGGAAATGTAGATCATGCCTGTATGAACAGACTTGTGATTGGAAAAAGAATAGATCGCAAGTATCTGACCAACAAGCAGCTCATGCTAGCTCCTGCTCATGATTTAGCATTTTACAGTTGATACAAACATTTGTTTTATACTTTTATAATTGTCTTATGTGTTCTATTTCAGTTTTTAAATAATGATGTGATGTGAATGTTATTGTGAAACTCTATAATGACTGTGAGTGATGCGTTGTGGATTCATAATGCATGATTTAATCCACAATGCAATATTTGGATTAGAATGGCTTTAATGGAAGCAAGCTGAAAGCTTTCTTTGTGTACATTAAGAATTTTAGCCCACTTAGATGTGCTTTTCAATGAACTTCAATGAACTTTTATGGCTTCAGTCAAGGGAGGCCAATATAATCAATATATAATACATTTAAAGTAAGCAAATTGTATACAGAACTTCTATTGTTCTGTCATTTTGTTTTAAAACAAAGATGTACATCATTAACCTTAGCCATTATGTATTAATAAGTTATTAATAGCTAAATAATGAATAATGTTAATCCCTAACTAAATCAATTATGATTTATATAATGTTTGTCACTTTCAAAACATCTTATAATATTTCTATTTTACAATGGAATATGTGCCACTAGATGGTGCTATTTTACCATTAATAATTACTTAGTCTCTGAATTTACTGAAGGTTTAGAACGTTGAGTCATTTCTGTAAGATGATAATATGATAACTATGACATTATCAGTTTGTATTTTACAGTTATTGCTAATATGAAATCAGTGATGCGGTGTGCCAAAGATTGGAAATGCCATATTTTGATTAGCAGATCTCTCATAAAGATACACTTGTGTTGATACGGAGATGCTTGTTTATTTGGGCACGAAATGTCATCTGCACTGGCACTGACCTCAGCACTGCTTTTCTTCACATGTTGTCATCGAGCGCAGGCCTTGGAGCATGTCCTTGTTATCAACATGACACTGTCAGACTAGGAATGACACATCTGGCATTTAAAAGAGGCCACACACTCCCTCGGGGTGCTTTTCATGTGAACCTAAATCACACACCAACACAAAAATTCTTTAGTCAGTCTTTAAATTCAATGCACAAATGTTTGAGTTTGTTCCTAGGCTGTTGGTTAAGATGTGTAGGTGCCTTTGCATGGCGCATACGTTTTAATTGTTAATTAGGAGGCTTGTTAATTTTAATAATTAATTGACTCACTCTTTTCCTTATTGCTGATCTCATGATCAGGACACAACTGACTGCAAATCTTAATAGAGAAGAATCTGCACTCTAATTTGATAGCAGTAATGATTTTACCCAGCATTGCACATGCTCATGGCATGCATCACACAGCCAAGAGGCTGAGAGCAGCCGCTATTAGATTGTGTTGGTTGAGGTCTGTTCTAATCTGCTAGTCAACAGGCTAAAAGAGCCATAACACATATGTGTTTGCTCATGTCTGCACTAAAGCATGCATCTTCCTTAACGCAGCGGCTATAGGAACCTGCAGTACCGTCTGGTCTGATGAAGTCACTCAGGCGCTAATGACCCCTCATTCAAGGCTCTTAAAAGCACTCCCACTCACTCAGTCTCTAGTAAAGTGCTTCAGCACTTCACTTCAGCCTTTGTAAACTCTTGTCACCTGGCAGACAGAGGAGCCATCCTACACTAATGTGGCCCGTCGGTTCATGCTCTGTTTGTCTTGCGCACTGATTTGCACCAAACTCAATTCCTGCCTTCCCTGATCAATAGGACGCCCAACATAGGGGCTCTGAATGGTGATTGCATTAAGGCACAGACAAAAAGAAGTTAAAAGGCTCCATTCTTGATTTTCCTATCATGTTAGAAAAGTGTTAAATGATGTGTAAAACTAAGTGCAAACACATGGGGTGATTGAATTGATATTCACGTGAGTGTGCAGTGCATGGGAACTAATGCAGGAATAAATTTGTCAGGACTTTGGAATCATTTGTTTTGCAGTGTGATATCTTGCATTGATGAATGTCATCACATTGGTTACATAATTCCCTGTAGGCAAACGATTCTTCTACCATAAGGTGAATCTCACCTATATCACATAGTTCATATATTGTCTAAAATGAAATATATTCTAAAAAATAATTATATACCGTTCAAATGTTTGGGGTCGGTAAGATGTTTTAAAATGTTTATTAAAGATGTCTTTTATGGGCACCGAGACTGCATTTATTTGATCAAAAATATAGTAAATTGTGTAATATTGTGAAAAAGTATTATAATTATTTTATAATTGTTTTATATTTTAACATGTAATTTATTCCTGTTATGGCAAAGCTGAATTTTCAGCATCATTACTCCAGTCTTCAGTGTCACATGACCTTTCAGAAATCATTCTAATATGCAGAATTGGTGCTCAAGTTACATTCTTATTGAAAGCAGTTGTGGTGTTTAATATTTTTGTGAAAATGATGATGCATCTTTTTCAGGATTGTTTTGCAAGTTATTGCACCCTTTCCGAGTAAATTTATTAATTTAAGTAAGTATGACCCAGACTTGTTATTAACTTATTCACCTAAACAAATGCTTAAGGTTGTTTACTTGAGTGTATTCATGATACATTTTCTTAGAAAGAACTGGAAAAATAAGAGACTAAAATAATGCATGATGAATAGACTACAAACTATGCAGTAAATCCATTAAAAGTGTAAGCCTGTGACGCAGATCTCATTACAGAGTGACAGCGGTCTGCTGCCGCAATAATGTAACCGAGCCAGAATTCAGCTCCACCCTGCTCAGTGTGGAGATCCCCACATGGTCAAATGATCCCAGTCTGGAGAAATTGAAACCCACAGGCCTCTTTAAGCTAAAGCAAAACATGAGGAAGTCTTTGGACCCAGCCAGCAGCTGTCCACAACCCCAATCTCACTGTCATCATTAGTCAACTGACTAAAACACCTCTGTCTCCATTTCTGACTCTTTAATCCCAGGGATCAGCCCTACACTGTGGTTAGACTGGAATCTGCTGCATGTGATTTAAGAAACTGAGCACAAGGGCCTAATAACACTGACGTCCTCATTGTGATAATATAATGAAATATGAGTACTGCTGAGAGAGTTGGAGAAAGTGAGAAGAGGGTTGTGAGAAAAGCAAGTGTTACAGTATTTCAGTGCAGTCCTCAAACATAGAGACATATTTTTTTAGCAAATATGTGATAACAGATTAGGTTACGCCATGGTTTAAAGGTCCCGTTCTTCATGTTTTTTTTGAAGCTTTGATTGTGTTTACAGTGTGCAATATAACATGTGTTCATGTTTCGCATGTAAAAAAACACAGCATTTTTCACACAATTTACTTATCTGTATACTACGGAGCCCCCCTAGTCCCACTTTGTCAAAAAAAATTTATTATAACTATCTCGTGGCCTCAAGATAAGTAACTTGTGGCCTCAAGATTTACCACGAGTTACTATCTTGAGGCCACGAGATACTATCTTGAGGCCACGAGTTACTATCTTGAGGCCATGAGTTACTTATCTTGAGGCCACGAGTTACTATCTTGAGGCCACGAGTTACTATCTTGAGGCCACGAGTTACTTATCTTGAGGCCACGAGTTACTATCTTGAGGCCACGAGTTACTATCTTGAGGCCACGAGATAGTATCTTGAGGCCACGAGTTACTTATCTTGAGGCCACGAGATAGTTATAATAATTTTTTTTGACAAAGTGGGACTAGGGGGGCTCCGTAGTATACCACTGTTTTCACTGTCCAGAAAACGGCCCAATGACTTCCTTGTTCTATGAAGTCCCTCCTTCAGAAATACGTAAAGAGTTCTGATTGTGCCAGCGGTTCCTGTGTTGTGATTCGACAGCAGCTTATCGCACGTTGCCCGGAAAGGTCACGCCTCTTACCATAAATTGGAGATGCATGCGCAGCTGAAGTGCTTCTTCTCTGTGGGAGCGCAATAAGACCACGCCCCCTTTTTTTGTGTATTCCTGTGGGCGGAGATTAGTAAAAAAAACTGTTCTAGTTACGTCATTAAAAAAGGAAGTATAGAGGGATGTAGTCCAAACCGGCCGTTCGTTGTATGCTTTGAAAGGGGACTTCTGTTAAATAAAATATCTCGCTAGGCATTGAACTTTGAGCTTTATAATTTTACAGGTATTATTTATGCTCTAACAGCAACATTACACACTAATTAAAGTTTGAAAAATGGAATCGCGAAGAACGGGACCTTTAAACGATGAAACAATAGATATACACTTTATAAAATCCCTTTTAAAATCATCATCATCATCATCATCTTCTTCTGCTTATCCGGGGCCGGGTCGCGGGGGCAGCAGTCTAAGCAGAGACTCCCATACTTCCCTCTCCCTAGACACTTCCTCCAGCTCTTCCGGGGGAATACCGAGGCGTTCTTAGGCCAGCCGGGAGACACAATCCCCCCGGTGGGACGCGCCCGGAACACCTTCCCGGGAAGGTGTCCAGGAGGCATCCGGAACAGATGCCTGAGCCACCTCAGCTGGCCCCTCTCGATGTGGACGAGCAGCGGCTCTACTCTGAGCTTCTCCCGAGTGACCGAGCTTCTCACCCTATCTCTAAGGGAGCGCCCAGCCGCCCTGCGGAGGAAGCTCATTTCGGCCGCCTGTATCTGGGATCTTGTCCTTTCAGTCATGACCCACAGCTCATGACCATAGGTGAGAGTAGGAACGTAGATCGACCTTCGTATTGCAGCTCAGCTCCTTCTTCACCACGACAGACTGGTACATCGACCGCATTACTGCAGAAGCTGCACCGATCCGTCTGTCGATCTCCCGTTCCATCCTTCCCTCACTCGTGAACAAGACCCCAAGATACTTGAACTCCTCAAGAGACTTCAAGAAACTCCACAACATCAAGAGACTTGAGGTGCTCAGGGCGGATCTCATCCATCCCCGGTGCCTTGCCACCGAGGAGCTTCTTAACTACCTCGGTGACTTCAGCTTGGGTGATGGACGAGCCCTCTGCCTTTGCCTCCTCAATGGAAGACGTGTCGGTCGGATTGAGGAGAAAAATATCTTAATTTGTGTTCCGAAGATGAACGAAAGTCTTACGGGGTTTGAACAACATGAGGTTGAGTAAAAATTTTTCATTTT